AAAATGGTCATGAATCTTTTTTCAAATGAGCTATGTTGCGATCACATAAATTAGGCCATTTACAATGGCATGTCCTTTCATGGTTGACTGTTCTAAGAGTTAAAGAAACTCGTTGATTTCGTTCTCTGACTCGCCCGTCCTCTAATAAATCACTTTTTCTTGCTCTATATAATATTTATGATATAATTCAAGTTTTAAAAGACAAAATGGTTTAATACAATGATAATTTCAATAACAAAATTTTCTAACCTTATAGCATGACTCCAAGAATATCGTGCCTCGTCTTTAAGAATCATTAAAGATCTCTCTGGTAAATCTATATTTACAATGACTCCAGTTTGAAGGTTCTTAAATTCCATGATCACCGGACTTTCAAGACTAAATGCTAAAACAATTGGCCCAAACGAAGAATGACTATCTACATGAGGTGGAATTCCAGTACCAATTGGATAATGTTGCGCTGTCAATTGTTCCATATTTGATATAAAAGGGTATAACTTCCTTAACTTTTCAAGAAGTAAATTCACATAAGGTGGAAATTGAAGTGATGGTGAACCAACTTCATTTGAATCATAATTAAATGAGTAACCAAAATGTATCTAACAAAATTCGAGTTGTCAAAAATAGGTTAAACTAAAAAAAAAATATATATATATATCATTAATGTACGCACTACACTACGATCTTGAACAGGGATCCATGCGGTGTTTGAATATATATCTTGTAATATATTTTTTTCTAATTCAACTGATACGAACTCCTCCAATAAAATCAGTCCGGGGATAGTTACTTCATTCAAGTCTTTGATTTGTTTCATGAAACTTTGACACGTCAAATTCACAAATTCGATAAAGAGAACTTTACCATTTAGAAGTTCGCATGGTTCATTGTGAAGAGTCTCCCTAGCATGTAAAGCAGAGGCTGTGGAATTAAATAATGCAAACGAATATGGCTGTGTTAAGAACATGGATTGCTTAGTATTTAGAAATACGCCGAAAGAAAGCAAAAATTCAATAAAAAAAAAAAAAAAAGGATCACCTTTCCATGGGTCAATCGTATTCCTGCCAAACCATCAAAGGTGTTAAATATTTCTGATACTTGTTCTGTTGTAACACCTCCGACTCCACCGAAACAAAGATTAGTCAAGCATAAATACCGCGTAGGTTCTGTTGAAAACAATTGATCAATCGACGATCCTTCAAATTTTGCAATAATTTCGTAAGCTTGGTACTTTTTCAATTCAAGCCTTCGAAGTTTGCGTGCTTCATTCCGCGTGAGCAACGTCGTATCAATCTCTAAAATATTTGTAGGATAAGGCATGAGTAACTAATTTTTCATGATTAAACTTTCAAAAATTAAATAATTTATCGAAGATTTCTTGTACCAATAAGAATTTTGTATAAATTCCCACGATCCACGTCCGATCTTCAGCTCTTTCATAAATCTAAAATGGACGAAATACCTGAATTGGTTGAAATAGCTGAAATAATGTAAAAAATAATATCCTCTCAATTTGAAAGGGTTTTCTTTGTAAAGTTGATAAATTCTTTCTTTTATAGTGATTCTTCTGAATCAAAGGTAAATGATACCGATAAAGCTTTTACTTCAAAGGTTCCTATAACCATAATTACTGGTAAATAAATTATTTCTAAATTCAACTCTACAATAATAATGATTCTTAACACGTTGGAACTCGCTACCACAGGCTTCCTCGGCTCAGGGAAAACCACGTTACTTAATTATATTTTAACAAATCAACATGGAAAAAGGATTGCCGTTATTTTGAACGAATTTGGCGAAAGTATGGTTTTCTTTCATAGTTCTTTCATTTCGGTTCTAAAGCTCACTGTTATTTATATCACTTTAGGCAGCGGAATTGAAAAATCCTTATCAATAAATCAAGACGGTGATTCATTTGAGGAATGGTTAGAATTACAAAATGGATGCTTATGTTGCTCTATCAAGTATGTGTATTGTTATGATTATTCATTTTTCTGTGACCAATTCTTGACTTTATTGCTTAAATTTATTAGAGATAATGGTGTAAAAGCAATTGAAAATCTTATGCAGAAAAAAGGAAAATTTGATTATATTTTACTGGAAACTACAGGCCTTGCTGATCCAGGTATTTCAGTAATCGCGTCATAATGTTTTTTCTTTCTACGTATATACTATTATTTAATATCGACACGTTTTCTCACGCAAAAGGTCCAATTGCTTCGATGTTCTGGTTGGACGATGATCTAGGTAGCGACATATATTTGGATGGCATCGTTACATTAGTTGACGCAAAATATATCCTACAAGTACCATATCACACTTACATTTTTGCTTTTAAGTAATATACTCGTACTTTTTTATTCTTTAATCTTAATTATTTTATCATTTATTTAAAGTATATTTCGGAGAAGAGAGCAGATGGTTCGATTAATGAGGCTGTTCGGTATGCATTAAACTTTCGGCATTTCATACCATTATAACCTTTCAAATAACGTTATTAGAAATTAGTCAAATAGCAATATCCGATAGAATAATTATCAACAAAACGGATCTAGTTTTGCCCTCAGTTATAGATTCCGTACAAAGTCAAATCAGGTGATTTTTTGCTTACATGATATTATTAAATGACGTGCGAAATGACCTAATTTACTTTCTATATTTCAATTTAAAGGACTATAAATTCAATTGCAGATATTATTAAAACAGAAAGATCAAGGTACTTTTGAATTGTTCTATTTTTATACGTTTTTTGGTCAATATATTATTTTATTAAAATATTCGTCTAACATGATATAAATGCTATAAACACGTTCTAATCTTCATTAAACAAGAGTTCCATTAGACTTCATTTTAGACATTCATGCATTCGACTTTAAACAGTCGCCTGTTTCACAATTGGTATCACCACAAACCTTAAATGAGGATGATGCAGAAAATGGACATGGTCATAACCACGATCATATTGAAGAGGTAATAAATAACCACGATCATATTGAAGAGGTAATAAGTTTATCCATCAACTTGTTTTTAATTCAAAAAAAAACTTTTTTTTAAAAAAATATTTATATTCATGTTTATTTATTCATGTTTATTTAAAGGAGGTTAAAACCATATGTTTAACTGAATTTCCGTCACCTACCATTGATTTGACCAAAATAGAGCAATGGATTCAATGTTTGTTATGGGAGAAAATTGTTCCAACATATGACACTACATCATGTCAAACTAATCCTCAAATAACAATTTTAAGGCTTAAGAGTATTCTAACACCGAATCATGATATAAAATCGCGTGTTGTTGTGCAAGGGGTTCAAGAGTTGTACGATTTACAATACATTCCTAGTGATAGAAGTGGTTTGGATGAATCTGAAAGTGCTGGGAATAAAGTAATGGTAAAAGACAAGGTTGTAATAATTGGAAGAAATTTAGAATATATGAAATTGAAAAATTCATTATGGAATTGGATGGGTTGGATCTAGTTGCTAGCACTTTACTATATGAAATTGAAAATTTCATTATGGAATTGGATGGGTTGGATCTAGTTGCTAGCACTTTACTATTTCTTGATCACATGGACAAAGACATGAAAGATAACAATTTAGTCAATGTAAAAAATAAATTCAGGAATATTTCGTAGTAATGTGTTACAGACATATATATTTCTATTATTAATTTATGACACATAAAATAAGTAACTGATTATCTATAATACTATGAAATGTTGAAAATAAACCGTACGAATAAAAAAATACAAATTATCTATATACTAATGACTGGATGGTTTGTCAAATCATATATCATCATCATCATCAGTTATTAAGAATGCATTATTAGATACTAAATCGAAATCCATTGAAACATTTGATTCTCTAACATTACTAAAATCTATTGTTGCATTTCTAGTCTTTCTATTTCTTTCATTTCTAAAAAAGAAACCCCCAAAATTTTAATGAATTAGTAAATACTAAATTAGAAATTCAGACCATAAAAAGTACATTTTAAAACTACATACTTTTTTAACATCATAATTAACCTTCCAAATTGCATGATATTTCTTACAATTATTAAAACCAAATCAACCACTTCTTCTTCCTTATGTGAACAATCACCTTTTACAACTAAGATTAATGTTATTACACATAGTGAGACAAGAATGATATCGACTATATTGTAGATAGACTTCCAATATAACTAGACAATAAATATACGAACAAAATAAGGTTAATATTTTAAAATCCCTTATCAAATAATAATCGGAAACAAAGAATATTGCTGACCTTTCCTAATGCTACAAAGCGGGTAACTACTTCTGCTATCATAACTGTATTAATTATTATTTCAAGAATAATGAATCCGGTTGATTGACTTTGAGAATGAAAATATGTCAAAAAATTTTGAAATATTTGAAATAGATAAACATTAAAGGAGCATTAATTATGTTTACCAATCTTCCGTAAATGACTGTTTGATAAAAAAAAGTTTAATCAACCATTTTAAGGATATAAAATTAAATTGAGATCGTTTAAACAAAAATATACCAGAATGATAGAAACAACGCTTAATAAAGCCATTCCCAAGTATAACCATGTATAAAACTTAGAATATATTAGCCGATTTGCCAAGCCATGAAAAAACTCTGCACGAGACAGGGTATATTGTGTGTGAGAACTATTTCAGAAGAGTAATAAATAATGATTATTGATTACATAGAGATTTCGCAATTACAAGAATTAACTTTTTTTACTTACGGTTTCGGTGTGTTTGGGGCCTCATTTGTCATCAAAATAGATACGTCGGTTGTTGACATGTTAAAAGTAAACTTATTGTAACGAAAAATTAAATCTAAGCCTTCTATATAATGTAGCCTTCTATAATGTAGCTTAGCCTTATTATATTAACGTATATAATAAATAATAAAAACCAGTCGGTGGCCAGTAGCGGTAGTTCTAATAACTTTCTTCCATAAAAGTTCCATCATGTGATGCCGCATTGTTTAAGATTTGTTTAAGTGTTACGACTACGTAGAGGTTAACCGATAACCTGGGGAATACATAATACTTAACCTGTTAATCTGGTTAATTTATATAAATAATTGTTCAAAATTTCGCTTGTTATTTTTGTATTACTAGACCCTGTGATCAGCATAGATCGGTATCCATATAAAAAAAATTTAATAATCGATAACTCTCATAGTTAACGTTAATAAAATCTGTGCAAGAAACTTACCTTGAGTCGCAATCCCGTGACATATTGAGATCGCTCTGGGAAAATCCAGATAGTGAAAGATTAGAGTCCAATATACTAAAATAAAAATGCTATGGCAAACTAGATAATTTACAGCTGTTCTCATAAATTCTGGAAAATCTGGCAAAAATTGACCGACAGAATATTTGCCGATTCGATAAGTTTTGATTCAGCAGTGATGAATCAAAACTTATCGAATCGGCAAATATTCGGTCGGTCAATTTTTGCCAGATTTTCCAGAATTTATGAGAACAGCTTTAAAGTTTGCCGAATGATTTTTTCGGCCGATCCGGTTAAGTTATTGATTTTGACATGATCGGTATTTATATTTTACATGTATATAATAAGTATCATACTTGTTCTACAGATAATTTTATCATTATAATATCGACACATTCAACGTTATTAAATTTCATTTGAATACTTTACCCAACATGTTAGTGTGTTAGTTTGCGCGAAAACTTATGAAAAAGATTATTCTTGTTAACCATTAAATCTTAACAAGAAATATAAAAAAACGGATATAAATTCCATTTCGGATTGTAATTCATACAAATACTAGTCAAGCTTTTCATTCATTTATCATTCGTGTTTAGTAAACGTGGTTGTCTTGAAAGTGATAGAAGCTTTTCAATATCTTTGAAAGTGCCTGAGAACCCGATTCATTGAAGACTTGCTAACACCTAAGTGTTTGGCAATTTTTCGAACGATAAGCCTTCTAAATTTTTTTGCAACTATTTGCCATCGAAGTTCTTTGAAAGTACGTATCATAATTCTGTATTCAACCAAAGATATGCATATCGATATGTAGTTATATAATATTTATATGTATTAGTTGCCTGATTTTAAATTACGTACGTATATATCTGATATATCAATTTATCTGTTATTGAATCTATTATTCAAACTTAACCGAATCGGCCGAAAAATTGTTCGGCCAATTTTTCAGATGTCCCAGGAATTATGATAATAGCTGTAAGTAACCAAATTTATAATCCGGTTTGTTGGATGTATAACCCGGTGACTAAAATTTATGATGGGTGCAACCTCTAGTTACAACGATCATAATCGAGTTAAATTAGTTACACATCTATATAAAATTCCTTCTGAGGACGGCTAAAATATTTAAAAAAATTTATTGATATTCGAATCGATAAGTTGCCGAGTCGAATTAATAAGTTATCAACATTAGCCGAAATCGGAAACTTATCAATTTGTTCATCGGCAATTCTTCAGTTGTCTCAGAATTTATGAAACCAGCTGTTCTCTTTGAAGTTTTAATTAAATTGATAAAAAAATTTTTTTGTTATTCCTTAAACTGTCTAATAAAATTGTCTATTTTTAAAAAATGAAAGTATTCTGCATTATAGATAATTGTTACCTAAAATTTTAAAAAAGTTTAAGAACAGTTAGTAGTTGAAAGGCCAAACTTTTATATGTACGTAGTAAAAATCGGCGCAATATACTATTTGCCTTATATAGTGGTCAATTAAATCGAAGCGAGGTTTAGGGTTACCTTTTTGACGCCTTTTTGACGCAAGTTGGGTTAGTAGGTTATAAATATCAAGAACGTAATTTATGCAGTATTTAGATTATATATTGAATCAACTGCTGTATCAGAAAAGTAAATGCAGGTCGTGTATTTTCGATATTGATATTCTTTTTATGAAGTCTATAGGGATGTTAATCGGTCCTTTGGGATCGAGTCCTAACCGATCCTTTCAAGGATCGGTAAGGACTTGGTCCTTAAGTCACATGAAAACATAATACATTTGTATGATTTAGATCCTGGATCGAATTATTTAACAATATAGAATTAAATTGATTGGATGAACTTATTCGGAAAATCCAATTCAGGATCTAAATCCTATGGTGCAAATAGTCTAAAGATATCAAATGCTAAGCCACTGTTAAATTTTTAATATGTAGTGTAA